TAATTTTACTCAAAGGTTATTTTCTAGAAGTAACTTTTTCAATATATGCTTTGATATTTCTTACATTTAAATAGCTTTGGATATTCACTTTAACTATTCTAAATTCATCCTTATTACTTTTATGTGAACTAAGTACTTAACTATAAGTAAACTATACTGGAATGCCAGAGCTTTGCTTTCATGAACTCCTTGTAAAGACTACATCTCTTATGTTCCTATCCTTGTTGTTTAAATTTTTACTTTTGTTCCCATGTTCATTTATTCTGATTTTTACTCTAAATGTTTATTCTTTTTTATTATATATCATTGTTCTTGTGTGATATTTGAGCTGTTTTATATGTTTGGATTGATCTTTCAAATAAAGCCACATGTAACAACAACTTTCATATGAAAGAAATGAGAATAAGATATTATGTCTTGGAACCTCATTTTAATATAGATATTGTTGGAAGTTCAAAGATGAAGTCTGGGTGAGATGCATCGCAAAATGGTTTGGTTAAAAAAACTTGCTTATTGAAATATATATCTTGTCTTTTATATCTGTAAAGTATACATAGTTTTACTAAACAAATGTACTATTGTTTGAGTATTTGACTGTTCAAACTTCATGTCTTTTTTAATTTTTTTTAAGAGAGAGAAAAAAATTAAGAATATGTTTTTGGCATGCATAAAGATACATAAAACAACTAATACCAACTAATCTTAATAAACCATATATTGTATTATATATTTGAAATATGTTTTTACCTGTTTGTGAGTAAAATAGTTAGCAGTATTCTATGCCCAGTAACTATTCAGCTATTAACATTCTAATTTTATAATAATTTAGAATAAATTTAAAAAAGGACCTAGCTGTAATAAGCAATGAAACCAATATTAATAAAATTCCCATCATCTTAGCAATTTTTGATACCAGTTGCATAAATCTTGGAAAAAAAATACATACATAAAATTGTATTGATTATAAATCCTTTGATTATTTTTAAGATTATTTTCTGGAGATAAATGTGTAATAATTCTGTGTCGTTGCAGAGCCGAAACTTCTTGTATCAATAATATTTGTATTGAAAATGTGAGGTCCCAGTGGATGAATCTTAATGAAAGGCTTCAGTTAGAACAACAGATGCGAATGGTAATAAAATATTTTTTTAATGATGCAAAATGTTTTAAAAAGCATGATTGCAATTTGGAAAATTTTTTTGAACGAGGTTCTTGTTATAAATCAGATAAATCTAAATGTGTCATCAAGGATATTAAATGATTGTTATTTAGTATGATTCCTTGAAAAAAAAAGTGCTATTATTAACACTTTGAACGCAGAATCTTTCTATCTGTTAATATGTTTACATACTTTCTGACCTACAACACTGAAAAATCAGGAGCGTTTTTTAAGAAGTCAGGAGATTCATAAAAATTCTTTCTCACTCTCAAAGCAGATGCAAGTTATAGTTTCTCACTGATGAAACAGCTTTGGTTTTCTTTTATATGTAGTGTAGAGAAAAAGCAAGTGCCCTCAGATGCCCCAAATCACTTTGGAGGGGGGTGCAAATAATGGAGCATTAAGCCAAGCTGCATAAAAATTAAGAATCTTAAGAATAAGAGAAAGTTGGGAGAAAGGTCGGAAATCAGGAGACTGCCGCCTAAATCAGGAGATTTAGCAACTCTGTATTTACATCTAAATAGTATCCAGTAAACATAACCTTTCTGCGTAAGTGTAGAAAAGAAGTTTTAAATCCACTTACCTCTAAAACCTATACTTATCATTTGCAACATTCAACAAGAAATGGTATCAAACATCATCTTATAATTCCTTAAGAAGGGGGGGGGAAGAACTATTAAAGGAAACTATTTAGAAATTTTATTGATAAGTTTTTGTAAAGTATAATATGAAGAAAGTATGTTATAGGTCTTTTCTTCAAGTCCTCTAACTACGCTGCTAAAAAGTGTTTGCCAAGTGATCATATGAAACTGGGGAAACAGTGGCTTAGTCTCTTTTCTTCTCTCTTTTAGACCAGTTCTTCAATTGAGGAGGAAATTACTTCAAACAATTGCATTAGTATTCCTTTGCTGCCCACTCTCCCGATTTTAAAATCAAACTTCTGGTTTTTCATCATATATCCCTATCTCCTAGTAAATCACCAAATCTACTGGTTTTTATTTTTTAGCTTTTAAAAATGTTTCCCGGCAGTTAATAAAATTTATTGAATTAATGAAACTTAAATTAGGCAAATTGCAACTTCTGAATTGTACTTTTTTGTTACATTTTTATGGATTTTATTAATTTTTCTTATTGAGTTTCATTTGATCTGAGTTGCCTTAATTTGCAGCAGGCATTTGTAGATTTTTATATGAAGTTTCGAGCAATGTTTAATCACTTAATATTTGTACTTAATTTTATTTTATTTTAATATATGGTACATTACTCTGCTTGCCTACAGAAATACTATGTACATTAAATATTAATTTTATTTTTATCAAATTTAATGGTAATTTACTAAGTAAAGTTTCACTATTTGCGATTTTCTTAGCATAAAATTGTGAGAAAATTAAAAATTCAAATTAGCCAAAGAACATAAAATTTAGAATGTCTAATTAAATGCTAATATATATTATATTATCTTAATTTATAGGAATTTAGTTTCATTTCCTTTTTTTTTCATTGTACATGAGTGGAAAAAAGGTCTTCCTTCATACCTTCAGATATTTTTAACAAAGTGCAAAAACCACATTTGGCATTATTATCATTTATAACAAATATGCCCAATTTCAAAATACCCCATTATGCAAATTCACATATATCTTAAAAAATTACGAAAGGTATGCTTAGAAATACATCTAGTTTAAGATTATGGATAATAAATCAAAATTTTGAAAAATTTTGAAAAAATTTCAAATTTTAAAAAGAAATCATAAAAGATGGGTGAATTTTATATGGAATGAACCTAAATTTCAAAATGTGAAAGGAATAATCAAATAAGTTTAATAAAAAAGAGATATTAATAACTATATACCAGATTCAATTAACATGAAGGAGCTAAAATTTTGAAAGCTGATTTTTTAAAAACTACTTGTGCAATTTTTACAAAACTTGGCAGTTTGGCATACGAGTCGTAGAATCGAAATATGGGGGGGGGGATAGGCATGTCATTTCAGAAAAAGTCAAATTTTTTGTCAAAATGCCTATATTAGAACAATGCTATATATATAAATATAATACATATCCTAAGTTGCGCTTTTGAGACATGAAAAGCGCAAGTTGAATTTCATCAATCGGCCCAGTGGAACGGGAGATATAGCACTGTCCCCCCTTTTTTTGTGTGCAGTGTGCAAGAACGATGTCTTCACAAAAGGTGCCTTCAAGCCCATCTACCTAAAGAAAACAGATTTATATCGTACACTTGGCAAAACATTTCACCTGTTTTCTTTCACCCATTTACACATTATTTAACATGATTATGTTAGTAATATTAATTGTTTATTAAACTTTTTGATAAAATTTATATTTTGAGACACTTTATATAATGTATGCTTTAGTGACATATGCATATGTGATCTGATAATGGTGCCGGTGAGCAAATTAAATTTTGGTCTAGTAATGAAGTGCTATTTTTGTGCTTATTTCATTAGCCATTCCATTAATGTTGCCATAAGTTAATGATAATTGTTAACTGAATTCTACATCTGTCATAAATTTCTCAAGATGTTAGAAATCTAATATGCTTCTGATGCTAATAATTTCCTATGACTGCCAAGATTGGCCCTAATAGCAGTTTACAATCTTCTGTATGCTGGATGTATTTCAAGAATATTTTTCCCCCATCATATTCAAATGGAGACATTCAAAAATCTGGTGCAATTATCCTTTTTCTATGTCTATGTTTGATACATAACATATGTTAGCTGTACGATTTGCCAGAAAAAGGAACATAAACTTCTGTTTGAGAAACATTACTTTATCAGCTGACTGTCACTGTAACTTTGCCAACGATATGATATTCTCAATTCTAACAATGTGATCTGAAAAACATATCTATTTATTAACATAGAAAGAAAATGGAATGGTAAATAAATTATTATTGAATACATTTTATAATATGGTTATTAATAAAGGTTATTTAAAAATATTTGTAGGCTTGTTAACTTTTTTTTATTATTATTATTATTATTATTATTATTATTTTAATTTTTTTTTTATTTATTTTCTATTTAATGCCTTCGAATTTTCATCTGTGATATCTTTATAACATCTCTTTCTTTCTTTCCTTTTTCTTTAGGGATGGGGCTATTTTTTTTTTTTTTTTTTTTTTCATTTTATAAAGGCAGCTATTTTATACTGATGAGTTGTTTTAAATAGTTTTACAGCCGATATATTGGAACAGGGAATAAAGAACATTACTGTATGTAAGAAAGCCAGGACTCAACATAAAATATACTTACAGGGTATAAAAGCAAACTTTCAGTAAAGTGTAAGGCACAATTCTTCCTGCATTGTGACTGAAATGTTAAAGCATTTACATGAAATAGTCTTCTTATTCAGGTGCTGATGTTGAAAATTTTGGAAATATCTGAATAATATGCTATTATTGACAAATTAACAATTTTTGGGGAGGAAAGAAAATTATGATGGAATTGTTTATGTAATATACAACTGTATGTGAAATTTTATATAATACCTCGTAATATAGTATATACACATGTTTACTGAATAAATATCTATTATTTTTTCATAATTCCATAAATATCTATTATTTTTTCATAATTCCATAACATGAAAATATTAAAAATATTATTTTTTGTGTTATTTTTATTATTACTTTTCCAAAAATCAAGTCATTATTTTTACCATTATTATGTAGGTGGATATTAAATTGTGTTTTTATTTCACCTGTAGTCTTAATTTCAATGGATACTTCTGACTTTAATCATATCTTTTAATATAATTTGTGAATTGCATTATAACCAAATTTAAGAACATTAATTATTTTCTTTTCCTTTCATAGTATGTGCAACTCCTTGTTCAGGCTTATCTGTTGTCATTTGGAGTACCGGAGTTAAATTTTATCAATGTGTCTGCAAAATTATTTCTGGTAATAATACTTTTATTTTAAACATTTTTTATTGCTATATTGTTAGAATTCCATATAATGAATTTTCTGTTCTTCTCATTTTTATTCTATAGTTTATTATTCATAGTATACTTTTTTATTAAACAGCGTTTCTCAATCCGCGGCCCTCAAAACCTGCTGTTGTGGTTTTTCTAGACCTTGTCCTTTTTTTTTTTTTTTTTTTTTTTCAATAGAAATGAAAAATAAAATTCAGATTAACTGCATATATCACACTGTAGCTGAAAATTTCAGTTTAAAATATCACATGGCAGTTGTCTAACACTTTTTCTCTGTAGATTAATATTGTAGGAAATTTGTTTCTGGTCATCCTACCCATTTACTTCCCACTCCAGTTGTAATAGTAAAAGAAATGTTTAAAGCATTGTGACTATGGTGCTTCTTACCGAACAGCCAAATATAGAATATTTATGTAAAAATAAGCTGGCTCATTCATCTCTGGCTGAGTACCAACAAATATTTAATTTTTAGTCAATAAGGTAAAGACTATCCAAATTCTAATATCTTCAGATTATTTAACACAAGTATAATTTTTTCCTTCTATGAACTAAACTACTTAACACCCGTATAAAATTAAATTAATATTAATTTATTATTTTTCAAAACTGTAAGTATGCTGATAATAACATATGCTACAAAATTGCTTTTGAAACGGACAAGAGTGGTCTGCAAAGCATTCCACTTTTTAACCGTCTGAGTGCCATAACCTGTTTTATCTGGTCATGAGGTGTTTCATGGCTTTGTGTATATTAGCATATAATTAAAGATATTTTGATTTCTTACTTCTTTAACAAATATCATCTTGGTGAATGTAAGTTTATGATAATAGAAATTCATAGTATTTGAGAAATTATACAAATTTAGCTAATAAATGCTGTTTAAATACAAGTATTCATGACAGCTCTAAAAACTTGGCCACTCAGAAGATTAAAAGTAGTGCACTCTTAAAGTTTGAGAAGTGCTGGCTTAGGGTGTTCAAAAAGTACATAATTGTGCAGGCAAGCCTCCACATTTATTCAACATCAAGTCTGTTCACTGCGACCGCTCAATGACAGAGCGAGATTGACCACTACAATCGGTTTTCTGTTTCTTCTGCTGCTAGACTCCGAAGGGGTAGGACGTGCTTCCGTCCGTCCTCACCACGGATGATGCGTGACTGCAATATGTTCTTTTTCGTGCCTTTCTGACAACCATTTCCATATAGTTTCAAGAGAATGCATTTTGTCAAAAAAAATAATAGTAAGTGATATGAAGATTCAACTAAAATTGATCTAGATGCTGACTTCTGCGGTAAATGAATGACGTGTTTCTTGTCACGACTTGAGATGTTCTCGAAAGGAATTCCGTACACGTGCATCGTGTAGCATCTTGATGCTAGAATTGTAGCCTTGGTGTTTCCACAAAAATATATTGGAAATAATATTTCAAGTCAAAGTCCTTCGCTATAAAAATTGAATTTTGTTATCATGTAACTTTGTGTAATGAAGATGAACTGAGATTTACTAGATTGGAATTGTACGCATTTTGTGCACGAAAGGTTAGGACTCAAAATGGTAGGACTGATTCTTATTGCTGCAGTAGTTTGCCGTCTATTATCTTCTGTCTGGATTTGTTTTCTTGATTTATACTAGTATTAATTTAAAATTTCACGATGTCAAGATATAATAAATTTCTCGTAATTCGCATTATTTGAAGTGCCATCTTTTGGGGGTAAGTTACTTTAATTCCGTTTTTTTTTTTTTTTTTTTCAGATCACACATTTCATTCTGCACGTTATCCAGTAATTCTGGCTTATTGCGCTATTTAATATTACAATAATGTACATTAGGATAGAATACAGTTGCAGCATTTTGTAAAATCGGAAGTTATTTCTCAAATGACATCTAATAGGGCTTATTAGATGACAAGCTGAGAAAATTTTTCAGTTTTTACTGATGATAGCAGTTTTTAAGATTTGCTTGTGCATTAAAAATTTGTTCAGAAGCTTTGATAAATGTCTTAACGTTTGTTGTTTTTTAAACTTCGTTTTATTATCATAATGATCACATACTTTTTTCGTCTCTTTAAACAATAAATATGACACTGAAATAATGGAACTGAATCAAAATTAGTTCCATTAATATGCAAGAAATACACTTTTTCAATAATTTATGAAAAAACTTACAGAGTAAAGTATTATACATTACTTTTAACTTAAATATATTGATAGTTTATTGAAGCAGTTTACAAATATGTCCATGGTTAGTGACACGATACAATCTGTACAATATTCATATCTTTACAAACCTGATATAAGGAAGCTCAGTCAAGTGTTGTGACAATTGTAATTTATGTGGAAGGAAGCTTACGTGCTGTTGCAAAATTTTCCAAAATGTAAGCTCAGGAATCTGAAGTTCAAAACTTACTCCTCTAATTAACTTTTTCTTGAAGTTTGGAAAAGTGCAATAAATATAAAATGCCTCAGTTTATTAAAAAATATCATTAAATAGATTTCTTTCTTTCGTTTAGCTGCAAAATGTATGCAAAAAAAGTAAATAAATGTAATTTCTTCCATATTGAGCAGATTCTAATCTCAGTCTTCAGTGGAGGAGAAAACTCCTATTATAATCATAATAGTAATGCTTAGGGGATATAAGTCATATGTAATTGGCAAATTTTTGTGTTTTAAAGTAATACCATAATTAATTTATCTCTTAGCACAGCCAACGTGCATAGACTGGAATTTTCTTGAAACACACCTGGAAAAGTCGGGGAATTTCATTCTCCTGTTTGAGTGGCAACCCTGCATACAGGACCTATGTTTAAATGTAAAACAATACAGGAGCTTTTGCAGATGACCCAACTGCTTCATTGACTTGAGATGGAATGGATGGCCTTCATCATTTTTTACATAATATTTAATTTGATTTTAACTGTATGTGCCATTTAATTTTTTAAACATAATTAAAGGATTATATATCTTCAGTTCGTTTTTGTAGAGATGTTCATTTTTTATTCCCCCCTTTTTTCATGTTTTCTTAAAGAAAGTATCAATTGGGATTATGCAATTTGGAAGTTGTAAAATTATGAGTATTATGCATGGTAGAGGACAAAAATCACAAAATGAATTTGTATTTTATTACTATTGTAATATCACTAAAAACACTGAAAGTTTGTACTGTGAAAAAAACCGTTTACATTGCAGATGCTGGTTGTAAGATTGCATTTGTTTCTTGAGAGCAATTCAGTTTGTATGCATATGATATCAACAGCTCACGTTGGTAGATACAATCAAAGTGCACCTAAGAATTACTGTGCAGATAATTAGGCATTGTGCATTTCATGACTGGAATAAATACTTGCATTCTTATTTGTGAATTCTGTATTTATTTTTATGTCCTTTTTTATCGTAATTGTTTTTTATATTTATTTTAGATTTAATAAAATAGCCATTCTTTGCAAGAAGCTGTATACATCCTTAAAGTTGCCATTACTAATCTTAGTTAAATTTTACACCAACATTTGTGTTCAGTGCCATGTGGTGCTTTCCGTGTTAACCCAAAAGTGCTCTTTTTATATTGCTTAATTTTACTTGATTGGAAAGAACAGTTAGTGATATAAATAATTGTAGATCATAATATGTGGGGTTCAGGTAATTGGATCTCTGTTTAGAATTTTAATTAAAGATAAAAATATCTAATTTTACAGATAAAAATCGAAAATTAACCTTTGGACTTGCAAAATAACACTTCGATCTGTAACATATTCTGAGCTTTATTGTTTTAGATTTTAATTAGCAGTAGAAAGATATGCTTTAGTATATCTGTGAGAATTAAAGTAAGTAATATAAATAAATAATAAATATTTAAGCATAATTAATAAGTCAAACATTTTAAGGTTTTGAATGGAAATTCGAGTGAAATTTATTGATAGACTTGATTGAATTTAGCAGGCAACTTTGTATGATTATTAGTTTTCAAAATGGTAAGTAATAAAAACAGAAATTTCTAAATTAAATTCTTTTGAGTGTTTTTACATTATATATTGATTTATGTTCATTGAATTAGGATGAAATCAAAATGTTTGCAACTCGGGAAATTGCAAGTAGTGCTGTATCAGCATTTTATGCACATACCTTGGATGAAGCACTTAATATTGTAGATGACTATGAAAAGAATCAAGTTAAAGATGAAACATATAGTGCAAAAGAGTAATAAAGGTCCACCTTGTGAGTAAAACATTTTGTAAACTTTTTTGATCACTTTAGTGAGTAACTTTAATTAACATTTTATTTATTACTTTAATTAACATTTTATTTATTATTGTTTTGTTGTGTTTTACTATACTGTTTCTTAGAAATAACTAATGCCAGCTTTTCCATTTCATAAAAAATGCTAATTAATATAAATAATTTGCTATGCCATCAATTTTTTTCTGTAGCATTTATTACTTCTTTTATGTTAAAAAATAAGCTGTAACCCATGTGTATATGTTTACATATATATGTGAGGGAGTCGGAGTCTTTAAAATTCCAGGAGTCAGAGTCGGTCATTTTCCCTACCGATTCCACAGCCCTGTCCAGAAGGGCTGTTAATGAGGTTACAATATGGAATGATCCTTTCATCAAATGGGTTAAAAGTATTTCTTTTTAACTGAAAATTCTCAAGTGAAGATACTAATAATAAAGTTAAGGGTCTTTATTCAGTATGTTATCTCACTGTTTGATGATGTAGCCGTCTGTTAAAAAATACCTGAATTTAAACTAAATTATTATGAAATACCATAGTTTCAGAGGAGGGACCACTTAGAAGATAATTCCAAAACTCTTAGTCGAAGCGATTATTTAATTGTAAGAAATCAAAGAGTAGGGTTTCAGAATATAAATGACTTAACAACAACTAAAGTCCCAGAGATTTCCATTTAAAAAAAAAAAAAAAATCTGTAGTCTGATGTAATCATATTAAGTACACTGCACGCACACACACACACAAAAAAAAAGGGGGGGAGGGATCAATTGTATATATCCCGTTTTACTGGGCTGATTCACAAAATTCAAATTGCATTATTCATGTCTCGAAAGCACGACTTATATGTTAGATTTATATATAGCATTGTACTAATATAAGTATTTTGACACAAAATCATACTTTTTCTGAAATGACTTGCCAATTTTTTTCCATATTTCGATTCTATGACTCAAAATTATGCTTAACCCGCGAGCACACGCAACGGGTATGTCATATCCATGTGCATTTTTCTTTTTGTATATTTTTCACCTATTCTTTCATAAAAGGACGAAACTTGGTGTAGCTGAGTTCAAGGTCACATACTTAAATGGGGGAAATTCCTGAGGTGACAGGTTCAACGGTTTTTTAGGAACAGCATTGTTCAGGCATGTCATACCCGCGCGTGTACTCGCGTTTCTCAGTGAGTCACTTCGCACTTCTCGTTTTCAAGTTTTTAGGATAGGTTTTTCTTGAGTTGTAAGCATGGCGCCGTATATTCCTTACGATGAAGAGATGAAAAGATTGAGAAATCTTCTTGAAACAGTTTCTTCTGATGAGGATTCATTTAGTGAAGACGATGAAGATGTTGATGACGAAGAATATAATAGTAATCATGATTCATCCATAGAGAGTAGTGATTCAGATACAGGAATTGGCACCAAAAATATTATAACTAAACTACCTGGAAATACGAAGTATTCTAAAGACGTCTCAATACCTTTAGATTCCTAGTCACTGCTTATCGATGAAGATATGTTAAAACATGTAGTCGACAATACAAATATTTATATTGATTCAGTACGTGGAAATTTTACTCGTGAACGGGATGTGAAAGCAACAAATGAGTTGGAAATCAAAGCTTTAATTAGACTGCTGTATTTATGTGGAGTTTATAAATCATCCCATGTGAACGAAGAGATTTGTGGGCAACAGACGGAACGGGAATGGACATATTTCGGGAAACAATGTCAGTGAACCGATTCCTCTTTCTTTTACGATGCCTCCGTTTTGATGACATTAGAGATCGTCCCAGTAGAAGGACGTTGATAAATTAGCTCCGATCAGAGAATTTTTTGGAAATTTTGTCACAAATTGCCAAAAGGCTTATACTGTAGGAGAGTATGTGACCATTGATGAGAATTTGGAGTCATTCAGAGGTCGTTATTCCTTCAAACAATATATGCCCAACAAGCCAGCAAAGTATGGCATAAAAATATTTGCTCTTGTAGGCGCAAGGGTATTTTATACCTGGAGGATGGAAATTTATGCTGGTAAACAACCAGATGGGCCATTTCAAGTTGAAAACAGTGCAAGCGAAGTTGTCAAACATTTAATAAGGCCCTTATACAACTGTGGTCGAAATTTAACAGTTGATAATTGGTATATGGGATATGAATTATCTCAAGATCTCCTAAAGAAGAAAATTACGATAGTAGGTACAATGCGTAAAAAATAAGAGAAAAATCCCACCTGAGTTTCTGGGAAAGAAAAAAGAAGTATATTCTTCAATGTTCGGTTTTCAGAAAGAAGCAACACTTATATCTTATGCGCCGAAAAAAAATAAGAGTGTGATCCTGTTGTCCACAATGCATTCCGACGATCAAATCGATGAATCTACTGGGGAATTTAAAAAGCCTGAAATCATTACATTCTATAATATGACAAAAGGAGCAGTCGATGTTGTAAATGAGATGGCTACAGCAAGAGTAGCACGTCGATGGACTATGGTGATTTCCTTTTCAGTGTTAAACGTGGCTGCCATTAATGCAAGAATAATTCTACTATCAAAGAAGAAACTACCAACGGAATACCGTACCAGGCGTACTTTTCTCAAAGCCTTAGGGATGCAGCTAATAGAAAGTGTTCAAAATGAACGACGATGAACATCTGTAGCTCCTGATTCTAGACAAACACTGACCACCGATGAACATGTTAACACAATGAACCATCCCCCAAATAACCTAAAATAATTTACAAGAGGTGTACAGAGTGCCCCAAGAAAAAAGATAGAAAGACTAGATTAATTTGTGAAAATTGTAGCAAAAGAATACGTATGGAACATATGACCTAATTTTGTAAACAATGTTCAAAAAATTGTAAGTAAATAATTTTGCCTCTCCTTATTCGTTCATATTTTGGATAAAATGAAGTATTAACTTGGTTTTACATTTTAATTTCTTTTAAAAGCCGATTAATTTTATTCGGCAAATTTTTAATTACAAACTTTTCATTCGGGTATGTATACCCGGCGCGTGTTCTCGTGTTCGTCGGATCGGTGTGTGCGCTCGCGGGTTAAATATTAAAATTTGTAAAATTTGGTGTGAAATTTACAGAGCAATTCAAAAATTTATCTTGACACATTTGTTTTTCACTTTGCACCAAAAATAATTCACTTGGCATACTTTTTAATCTATAGCAACTTGTTTCCCATTCCCTCTTTTTCATTGTAAACATCATCGTTCGTACTTTCAAAGAATTTTGACAAAGTGCGTAAACAACATATGGTGGTATTATCACTTATAACATATAACATATTTTCAAGACGTGCCAATGTGTAAATTCATGTATAGTTTGGAAAATTTTGAATAAAAAATTTTCATTTATTGCAGGTGTGCCTAGAAATACATCTACTTTAAGATGATGGTAAAAATTTTATAGTTTATAATACAAAAAATTTTTCGAAACATTTATAAAAAATAATTAAATTACAAATTTTAAAAATAAATCATAAAAAATGTGTGAATTATATTTGGATTAATCCTTAATTTTGAATTCTGGAAGAAGGAATCAAGTAAGTTTATATAAAAAAAAGATATTAATAAATATATACCAAATTCAGTTAACATTTAGGAGGTAAAATTTTGATAGCTAATTTTTTAAAAATCATTCATGTGATTTTTACAAAACTCAGCAGTTGGGCATAATTTGAGTTGTAGATCGAAATGTGGAAAAAAATTAGTATGTCATTTTAGAAAAAGTACAATTTTGTGTCAAAATACCTATATTAAAACAATGCCATATATAAATCTAATATATATCCGAAGTCACATTTTCAAGATATGAAAAAGGCAAGTTGAATTTTGTCAGTCGGCCCAGTAGAAAACGGGAGATTTAGAACAGTCCCCTCCCTTTTACTTCCTTGTACAAAGTAAAAAGGAAGTATTGTAATCGCGAAAAGTTTCAGGCAGCATATTTCAAAGAAAATATCCATTTTGACTGCTTTCGAATGCAATTTAACGATGTTTTTGCGTGATATCTGTACGTAAGGACAGAATAAAAGACTCTTTTCCTCCAAAAAAAATCAAAAACTGCTTTAAAATGAATTCTGAAGATAATTTTTCGTGGCGTCTGTACGAACGTGTGGACATACGTATCTCGCCTAACTTAAAAACGAGTGACCTCAGAACATTGAAATTTTGTATATAGGACTATTATAACATGTAGATGTGCACCTCGTATTTTGGTTGCAATTGGCCGCGCCAAACGTATATAAATATATTTATATGTATACACTCTGTTACCCGGCTCAGTGATCTCAGTTTCTTTACTCTTATATGTTTGTAAATTGTACATTTTTTGCTTTCAAAATGATTGAATTGAGTTGTTCTTATCTTCCGGTTAAGGATTTTATGTCTTTAGTAAATCTGTATGCAATATTTTTAGAATTATCAACAATTTTAAAGTTGTTTAAGTGCCGCTAAGCCTAATAATTTTTTTGATGGCGGACATTGCTTGTTTACATTTGAAACAGCAGAGTAGTGGATTTGTTTGCCAATCTAGAGAAAATTAGCTTCGCAACAACAAAGATAACCGCCTTCATTTATTATTGTGAATTTAAATCATTCTTAATCCTTTCTGGAATTTTTTCGGAGGAAATAAGTGTTTAAGGTTTACTTAATTTTTTTATAATTTTTAATAATTTTAATAATTAGTACTTTAATTTTTAATAATTAGTAATTTTTAATACAGATATTTTGAGTTTTTATGTATTTTTACCTTGTCGCGAAGTGAGAACTGAATTACTTGAATGAGAAATACTCAATCGTCTGTGATAAACTGTTTCTTTTTTGTTTTATATGCTTAATTTCTTTTATGCATCATTCTAGCTTTATTATAGTATTTGAATAGAACATGTGGCAACGATTAGATAATTATTTAAATGATATAAATTTTGTGCATTCCGAATTATAACATGAACGAAATATACTACTGTTAAATGAAG